GACTCCTTGGATGAGCTTGGCTTGGGCTTTCTGCGGATTGACTCACTGTCAGGTGGTGCGACTGCTCTTCTGAGCTGGAGAATCCACCGGAGCTGAGCTTTCAGCTGGATTACTTCGTGCGGTGGGACTGCTCTGTACTGAACTACTGACTCCACTTGCTGAAGGAGAATATGGTTGAGATCGTGGTGGAGATGACTGTGCCTCAAACGATTGAGCAGGTTCTGTCGGTCCGAATTTCACTTTGGCTGGTCTTCGAACTACGGCAGAGGGGACAGCACCTTGGGAAGTGGACATGGCCGCTGTCGGAACCCTAACTGGTTTCGAAAAGCGCTCCTGCGACATGGAGACTAGTGACCTGGACGACTTAGGCACGATTGCTTCTTGCGACATAGAAACCAATGATCTCGACGATTTAGGCACGACTGCTTCTTGCGACATGGAGACCATTGATCTGGACGTCTTAGGCGTGATGACCCCTTGCGACATGGAGACTGCCGACCTCGAAGTCTTCGGCATGATTGCCTCCTGCGACTTGCTCGCAGCACTTTGTATGGATATCATTCCAGACTTGCTTTCCTTGGGGGCCTGAAAAGTAGCATATGAGATAGCTGCAATGGATTGACGGAATGAATACAGTTTAAAATGAAGCTAAACTAGTATACACTGTAGTTCGCTGCGGACGATTGGGCGTGGTTCAGCCAGAATAAGTTGTGCACAAGCAACAAGCCGTTCTCTGCCTTTTTTGTTGATGAGCGCGCATATGCGACAGAAGTGGGGGGAATACTATTAATTACGAACGATATTGATACAGTATTGTCACTTGCTCGCTTCAACAACTGGTGGAGAACGAGTTTGGCACCGCGCCAAACGCAGCCGCACTGACACGCCCAACCGTCCGCAGCGAACTACACTATACTTGGTCATTTCGGCTTATCAACACACATTGAGCTTCTTCACTCAAACAAGCAAATGGCCACCGTCCTATCAATCTACAGCCCTCGAAATGCCCAATCCCCGAAAACCAGTTTCTATCTGTGCAACGAAGAAGATAGAAAGCTCCGGATCTGCTTCGCGATAGATCAGTACACTTGTTGAAACCCTCACAAAGACTGTAAGACAATTAATATACGTCAACTCACCACCTCCTTTTTGGATTTCTCACTAGCGTCTTCGATATCCTGAAAATCACAGTTTTGATCCACATAAGAGGGCACTAATTTTGTGAAGTGGACCAAACAAAGGATTCTGATCCTTAAGAGAAAACCACCGATGGAGCTGAGGACACGTATGGGAGCTGTCGACATTTGTCAGCACTCGATCCTGACGATTCCTGAGCTGGTTAAAGGCAGCCCACGTTCAAGTAATCCATGGTCGTCCTTCCTTGTGCAAGTAGTCCAGCCCCAAGCTAAAAGACTGTCCCTCTCGCGACTCCACAGCGAGCGAGGAGCGAGCTACAGCCGCTGAAAGTTCTAGTTCTAACGCCCGCTCAGTTGGACCGCCCACTTGCTAGATGCCCTCTGACGGAGGGCCGCTCAGTTGTTCTTTGTTGGGGCGGCGGGCATTAATCGGAGCTGCGCTCGTGCCCATAATAATTCTGCTCTCCTTCATCACATTTTATTCATTGGGAGCACATACAGTCAACTGCAACCCATCTCGCAAGGTAAAACGCGTAAAATCACGAATGATGCAATTTTTGGTGCAAAAGCTCGACGCACTAAAAGATGCACGCTACCGTAATTCCAAATTCGTACGCCGAAATTTGAAAATTTCATTTTGTCACGAGTTTTCCGTCGGTGTTTCTGTTGTTATTCGTATTCTTTTCAATGCATCGGATGATATCTACTACTTGGAGATGCAAAAAAGCAATTACCGAGCCAGGGGTTGAACAGAATACGAATAACAACAGAAACACCGACGGAAAACTCGTGACAAAATGAAATTTT